TTTATTAAAATAGCACTTAAGAGAAATAATTAAATAAAATTTTATTTAAAAACCTAAATTTCAAAAATTAATTTATATAATCACATTGATACTAATTGATTTACTAATTGATTTACTGATTGTTGTACAATTTTAAACAACATTAAACAATTAGAAAATAATTAGAACTACTGATTATAAATTAAATAAATTGCAGACAGAAAATTAAAATGGTAATTATAGAATATGTAGGGAAAATTTTAAAAATAAGGAAAATATCATTCTCAACCTGACCTAAATTTATTGGATGACACAAATATCTGTAGTAATTTTTTCTTTATGACTGTATGAAAATGTAAAGGTAACGAAACATTATTACATTCAAATGAACTTGTTTTTAACAAGTATCTTCAACCTAAGGAAATTAGAAGAAAGGCCCTAATTAGTTTACTGAAGAGTTGTGGCATGCTACAGAATGACATAATTGCAAACTGTCTAGGAAGTACACATCTAAGAAATGTTGCTGCATGCAGGTTTTTAACCATTCACAATATTTTAGTTTCCGTTCACATTCAGAGAACACATTTGTTATACAGGTTTCAGTGACAGTTATCCCATGTTAAACTTTTATTGAATATAGAAAGCTGTGAAAGAATACATAGGGAACAACAGATATTAGGCTAAATATGTAATATACACATGTGTATTTACAACTGTTCATCTAGAAGAACATGCACAAAACTGTCATTGGTAGAATTTTTCTCTTTTCCATAATAGTTGGCAATATTTTCCAATTTTTCTGAAATATTAATGTACAGTTTTTCTTATAACTTAAATCTACTTCAAAATGTTATTTTATTCTCAATCTAAAATTGAAAACTCAAGTATTTTATTCCTTTTTATCCCTGGGAAGATCCTCAATTTAATTCATCATAGGAATTAATAAAACACCTGTAGTTCACATGAAAACAATTATATTTCTAATGAAAATGGCCACCACTCATGCATGACAGCTATCTTCTGTTGGAATTGACCAGGAATAATTATTTACCTTGTTCAGTTAGGGAAACAGAATCTTAAAATTTTAGTGACTTACCAAGAGCTGTACATTTAAAAGCATAGCAGATCTAAACTCTAAATTCTAGAATATCTGATTCCAAAATGAGTGCCCTGAACTATGTTGCTATATGGGCTCATTATACTGTAAATGGAATGATTTTTGAAACTGTAACCACTGTCCAAAATATATCTTTTTCATAGTAAAACACCATACAATTGGAGCATGAATGGAATTATTTATGATAAAGTATTTTCTTATTTTGAATAACTGTTGTCCTTAAAGACACATGTATTTGGATCATAGATTTAACATGTTTCATGGTTGTAAAATACAGTATGAATTCCTAAAAAATTCTTCAATATTTCTGGGATCAGTTTTCATTAAGTAAACAGCAGCACCACAGAAATACAAACAAAGGAAGCAGTTGTTTTACAGGCAGAACTGAGATTCACTAGGAAAGGAGAGGAGTTCAGTACTTAACATCACTGTGATATTAACTGCCTGCAGCCCTCTCTCTTTTGCAGGACTCTCAGGGCAGCATTCTTCACCTCTTTGTTTCTGAGACTGTAAATGAGAGGGTTCAGCATGGGGATCACAATCGTGTAAAACACAGAAGCCACCTGATCCCTTCCCAAGGAGTAAGAAGTCTTCGGTTTTAGATAAGTAAAGATCATAGTGCTGTAGAAGATGGTGACTCCCAGGAGATGGGAGGCACAAGTGGAGAAGGCTTTCTTTTTTCCAGCAGTGGAATTAATTTTCAGGATAGTGGAGAGGATGGACACATAGGATCCTGATATGATGCTGAGGGACAGCACCAGGGTGGAGCCAGCAACAATGAATAACATGATCTCAAAGTCCTGAGTGTCACTGCAGGACAGCACAAAAAGTGCTGCAGTGTCACAGTAAAAGTGCTGGATGACATTAGAGTTGCAGAAATTCAGTCTTCTCAGGCAAAGTATATTGATAGAGGAATCCATAAATCCAATTACATAGGAGCCAGTGAGCAGGGCACGGCACAGTCTTGTGGACATAATGACTGGATAGTGCAGGGGGCTGCAGATAGCTACATAGCGATCATAGGCCATCGAGGAGAGAAGGAAACATTCAGCAGCAGCAAAGAGAACATAAAGGTAAAGCTGAGTGAAGCAGCCCAGGAAGGAGATGCTCTTGGTGGAAGTCAATAAGTTCTGTAAGGTTTTAGGGGTGATGACACTTGAATAGCTGAGGTCAAGAAATGACAGGTGAGTGAGAAAAAAGTACATGGGGGTGTGAAGCTGGCGATCCAGCCAAATGATTAGTATCATCCCCATGTTCCCCAACACTGTGATCAGGTAAATCAGAAGGAAGGGCATGGAGAGGACCAGCTGTGTCTCTGCAGAGTCCATCAGCCCAATGAGGATGAAGCCAGGCACACTGGTGGAGTTCCAGCTACTCATGTTTTAAACTAGTGAGGAATCAAAGTTGATACTTAGCCGAATGAATTCACAGTCATGGTATGAATAACCAAGTTTTTTTTGTACCGGGGATCCAACTGGGGACCTTGCACTTGTGAGGCAGGCGCCGGAACCACTGAGCTAAATCCCCGGCCCCATAACCAAGTATTTTTATAATTAGCTTAGTATTTCTAACAATTTCTCAAATGGGAGTGAAAATATTCACTTGCCACGTATAGAAATGCTTATAAACTAACACAAACAAATGGTGCAAGATAACGTTCTATAGCATTAGGATGAGCCTGATACTATTTCTCAGGCTTTCCTTTATTAACACATTTAATCCCCAGATAAATATTATTCATTGCTACTATTACCCACATTCTCTAGTTGGGAATCTGAAGTCAGAGCAATTACAATATGACACTCTCTGACTCCATTCCTGTGTATAATTGTTTCAGCAAACCTGAGAAATGTCATGTAGTGAGAAATGATAGGAAGCAATTTTAATATATAATTTACTGTCCTTTGAACCCAATACCATTTTGTGCCCATTAAAATGATAAGGTTTCTTTTGCAGAGTTAAGGAGGTGCATTAGTATTATAGACCAAATTAAATTATTAACTTTCACAACATGTGATATTTACCTAACTTGACCATATCAAACCATTTTCCCAAAAATTTTAATTTCAAAATTTGCTCATTACTTGTAATATCCTGATTGCATCCACTCCATATTTCTGTTTCTACACATCCTGGCATTTTTTAATATAAGGTCCACATGCTATGAGTATACATATTCCTCTGCAAAAGCTGTAATTTTGGTTTATCAGCTCCAAAATCATCTAGTTTTAAGAATAATACTTACTGTGACCCAAAGCTGATAAATATGACTTCCAATAGTGTCTTTCTGGAAATTAATCAGCTCTCAAATTCTTTTCAGAAATAATATATGAAATGCATTTAAAAATCTGAAAATTTCTGTAATATAGCATTTGTTTTCCTTATGATAGTTGACTACATTTTTATGCATTCATTAGATAAATTAATCCTGAAAGGTCGTGCCTGACTTGGTCCAATTGTTACTTCCCAGGTAATCTCCAAAGAATCTGAGGGAGGAACTCTGAATATAAACAGAGTGGTATATGCCTTGCTTCTCACCTGCTAATTCCGGGGAACCTCATGTAATGGGCATTGAACCATAAGACAACCTTTGATCACCCTCAGGGAGCAGATGCTAAGGAAGTTTATTTGGTATGCTTCCAAAGTTTAAAGTTCAAGAATAAATGAAAGAAGGGATTGTTTATTACTGCACACAGGTTCCACAATGAAGAATATAATTACTTGGTATTCCTTGTGATGCTTTGATTTTTAATAAAAAATATTTATGTTTTGAACTGATCAATAATACATAAATTGTAAATTATAAATGTTTCCATTTTATAGTCACCATCTCGGGACAACTTTGACCAAGTAGGAAAATCAGAAATTTCCAGAGAAATCCCTAGTTACATTGTCAATAACATTACTAAGATTAAAATGGCAAATTTATTGTTATGAAACACTTTATGCTTAAGAGCATGATTCTACCATAGAAATAAAACATGAATATTTAAAAAATACAAAAAAATTCAAAGAAATCATTGAAAGTAATTTAAAACTTTTAAATTTTTTGACATAATTATAATTTCTCCTAATCATTTCTTTATATTCCATAATAATTATATCGATATGTAATTATATATTTTCAAATTATTATATAATTAGTATCTTCTTTTTAGAACTGAAATTTTTGACCCATATTATGTGTATGTAATATTAAAGTAGGTATTTCAGGAAAATGTCCACATCCCCGAGAATTTTAGCAGGTAATTTCTTGCAGTAGACAAAGAATCTACTTCTGTATTTTCTTTGATTAACTTGTAGAAGGGCACTTTTGTTCAACAGTATATTAGTTTACACTGAGACAGGCTCATTTGGAGGTTTGAAAGCCATCACCAAACTATAAGACAACTGGTTAACCTTGAGGTTTGAGCTAAACAAAAGGCTTAGATGACATTTTCTGTCAATGCCATGTCAATAGACAACATGTGTTATGTAATTTTCTAGTTTTTCATAAAGTACAAAAATTATATTAAAATCTCACAAGCAAGGTTTTGTTGTGCAAGGGATTCTGAACACTGAAACCTATTTGGATCAGGTTTAGAGCTTTTGATAGTCTTGATTTTTGATTAACCTATTCTACTACCTTGTGTATATAGCCTGAAGTTAGAGATTCAATTATTTCACTAAGAATAATGTAACACTACCATTTTAACTTTAAAAATTGGAGGTGGAATATTTTGTTATTTTTAAATAATCATCCTAAATTATACTGTATTTTGATCAGGAAATAAGACTCAAGTTAAGCTTTGAAAATTTATGAATTATTTGATCAAATAGTATAAATAACTCAAATATTCTGACAAAGAAATACTCAAATGCTGATATGGGTATCTAGTCTTAAATCAACTATACAGTATGTAGAGATAATAAATGCTAAGCACATAGAAAAAAGGTCCAAAAATAATTGCTACAGCATGTTAGACTGTAAGATGTAATAAGAATAAAAAAAAATACCATGTGAACCAGCATGAACTACCTTGATCCACATATTCTCTTTACGAGAGGAACATGGTGACATGAGAGGATGAGATCTCCTAACCAGTGACTCCAGACATTAAAATCATACGTGTATATACAGCATATAACTTCCATATATTTAATACTATAACCATTCAGAAGAATCCCTCTGTAAATTACTATGCCATATTACTATATATGTATTTTGAGAAATCATTTTAGAAACACAAATTTTAGCAAAATGGTTTTATAAAACACTATCTATGCACAAATGTGTGAACATTGAAGAAATATACAAAGACAGAATCCATTACCCTAAAGAATACATTATTGTACTTTGAAAAGCCAATGATAACACAGAGAAAGGACTTAGCTTCAAATCATATTGACGTATTTGTAGATATTTTTAAGACTACAAATATTAAAAAGCAAAAGAACTTGCAATATTTTTGGAGAGAAATTTTATAAATAGTCATTTTCATTGTAAAAGTTATTTTTCTTTGTAGAAGATTATGTCACATCAACATAATCTTTGTGGTTTCTTTCAATATATATTCTACATATCATAGCCAGACTCTAGTTACTACTCAGTGATTTAATTTAACAGTTAATGCAGTATTCAGTGATATATTTTTTTCAATGGTCATTTTTCAAAAATACTCAGGAAATTTTATTAAGTATCAGACACTCTTTACAGGAAAATAATTCACACACACTGAATTCCTTCCTTTCATACTAAGCATTTTCCAGTGACTTTCTGATTAGAAAATGAGAGAATCTGTATAGATCATCTACACATATAAAAATTCCTTACACCTTACTTTTGATTTCTCTACCTATAACATTTCAAACACACAAATACATTGGTGCACACATTCACACATATTCCTAAATTTTATCAATTATTTGGATTTAGAGAGACATATTCTACTTGTGTGTAAATTGTGGCCTACTGTTTTGGTAGAGAGCCTTCTTGATAAACAGATTACATTTCTGTGTACATATATTCCTTGACTTATAATGGGTTATGTCCACTAAACTCAGTGTAAAATAAATACATTGTAAATGGAAAGTGTACTTAATACCCTGGACTTACCAATCATCATTGCTTAGCTTTACCTTCCTCAAATTTGTTCAGGACACCCAAATGAGCATGGGGATTCACCTAACACAAATATATTTTGTATTGTATTGAGCATCTACATCCCAAAGTTTGGGCAGCACAGGGCACTGGGTTTGCCATTTATTCCCCCTCATGATTTGTACATAGCTGGCTGGAAGCCACTCTTCCCTTCTCCCCACATGAGAGTTGCAGGGTTGCATGCCCAGCATGAGGAGAGGTCAAAATTCAAACTCTGCTGTAGGATTTCTAATGAATGTGCTTTGTTTTTATGCAGTGAGACAGTAAAAGAAAAACCTATGTGCCAAACTACGGCAAGTATAAAGCTGCCATCAATAATCACGTGGTAAAATATTTAAGCTCTGACCAAATGATTCCACAGTATACAGATTTATATCTCTTGTCTGTTATCTCTGCTTGTACTGAAATCACATGTATGTTTATAGTTAAGTACTTTTTTACCCTCAGCTACCATTTTGTATTGTTAATAAAAGTCAAGTGTGCTTTTTCCTTAGTCATTTATTTCTTTACTCAATCTTCTGATAGCTGAGAAAACACAGTGTCAGGCCAGATCAAGGGGCCCTTAACAATTTTTAAAGGTGGTGATGTCCATGCTCAGACACGGAAGTGCAGATGCATCTTTTACTACCCTGTGTCTGCCATGTCTGAATAACAGATTGTGCTCAAAGCACCTCCTTCAGGGTGACTTGCAAATCCAGAGGGGTTGAAAGGGGTCATCTCAGTGAAATTGCCCCCAGCCTTCTGACAACTCATGCTTTGTGCTAAAATGCTGAAGGACCAAAGAAAGTTAGAGAAAGATTCAAGTCCCAAGATGGAATTATCACAGCTATCTTAGACTCGTGGGACAACAGTATAATTGATGGAGAGCAAATAAGTTAGTTGAGAATTTATACTTATTTTTAGTTTTTACAGGCCTGGTAGGCACTAATAATAATTGAGATCCACATTTGCATAGAAGTGGTACACTACAAATATTGCTGTCTGGAGGATATGAAGAGATTCCTACAGGGATTTGTAATCACAGGATATTTTAGTCTATCATTGGCCCCAAGTCATAGAATTAGTAAATTATTTAGTATAATTTTTTATATCATATTCTACAAAATTGTAAGGATTGTCTAGAAGCAAAAACTAGGATTTGTGAATTTAATATTGTTTTTTGTTTCACAGACCTATTTTCTAAATATGTAACGTAGTCTACAGATGTATTTTAGCAGCTCATTAGAAATTTAGATGGGC